AGCAACAGCTGCCGAGGGTAATATCGAATTAGCAAGGAACCTTGAATGGAATGGAGGAACAAGAATTTTCGATGGTACTCGATGTAGATGGAATATTCGCGGAAGGTTGTCCATGTTCCATCGACCACAGGTGGCAACTTCATTTATCAGGAAATAGACGACATCGTGGAATTTCTTTGTTGTTGATGACGAATCGCGAGAATTGATCGCTGTGCCTCGAAGAAATAAGTCAGCAGGTTTCGCCTTAGACCACCTCGCGGCATTATGAAAGCAGAACGATAATATCTTCGGGGGTTGTAAGCTCGAGGGGCTGGAATCGTTACGGCGTTGCGTGCGGTAAATAGATAAATGTCGACTTGAAGTGCATGAAACGGCACGGCGAAGATAGGGCGCGCCGAATCGAGAAAATGTATTACCACGGAAATAATTTGCATTTAGATCCCTCGATATTTCAAACCAAAGACCCGCGTCCCACTGAGTTTTGCAACTCTTGTGAAAATTCCATGCTTCAACGTTACCACGAATTATTTTCTACCGACGATAGAGAAACTGTTCTATAGTTGATTTGGAACTGAGAAATTTTCTTTGTTTCTTATTGCATGACAGGATCGTTGATTCATGAGCAATAATAGCTTTAATTCTACTGTCTGATCTTTCAATTTTTCATGTATCATTCTTTAATCTCAATTGAAGAAAGGATTTTTAATGGTTTAAAAAATCATTACGAGGAGAATTAGATTAATGGTAGGTTTAGAGTTTCTTCTTGTATCTCAATAGCTATTAACATATCATAAACCCACAAAATCTAGAGCGGGCAACAAATAGCGTTGCCTTGTGTTTTGCCTAATTCGGATAACGTGTGAATCGTTCTAGTATTTTGAAGGAGGTCAGTTATTTGTGATCTGCAAGAACAAACTTATATAGACCGATCAAATAGTATCCTCTCTACGTCCCAATTAATTCACACGAAATTAAGTCAATCATCTCGTATGAACCTAATGAAAAGGTCGTGAAAATCTTGAGAAAATTATGCCGAGGGCTCGTGACGAAATTAACGATATGCTTTTGAATGTTTAACGATTTATTCGAAGATGACGAATTTAATATGAAACGTTTCTCTCGTGTTTTCAGCGATCATTCCTGGATCGTACATCAGACACTATAGCGCCGTTTGGTACGACACGGCTGCTCTAAGGGAACATCGCAGCAGAAGTCGTCGTGACACTTCAGCTTCCGGGCATCCGGGAGACGCGACGCTGAATCTACGTCTTCACGCTCTCGACAGGTTCGTAAAACCACGTACCGCAACGAGTGTATATGCAGGAAGAAAAAGAAATCTGCCAGTAATGGTAACGCGGTCAACAGGGGAATGAGAAACAGGTGGGAGGGGAAAGCTTTATCGAGGAAAATTCCAGTTTCTCGCTGCCGTCAAAGGCGGAATAATCTATGGCCGAACGGTCGTTTTACCGGCACGTGGTAACAGAGGAATATAAATTTTCATTTCGGCTCAACGTCAACGAACAAACATTGGCCGTGATGTATAAATGATCATGGTGTTAGGTAAACTCGGCCGAACTCGGGATTTTACTAAAAATCTAGAGAATATTCAAATTTCTTCCACGACAAGGTGTGAATTAGTACGTTTAGTATTGTAGTACATTTAGTAGTACAATAGATTCTCGCGAAACTGATTCTTATGGGATTGAGTGTGTGACCGTTTAATTCGAAAATATATGTCAATTATCATTCATCGGTTGTTAATAACAAAACGTCACATATAATATTATGGCTTATTAATATAACGAATAAATTGATCGTGCAAGTATTTCGATTGCAAATCGTTCCAAAAAAATAATCAGTATCTCGTAACTGCCACATACATTTTTAGATCGCTTTATAATCCTATTAATATAATCATGACAGTTGTGTTACACTGCTAATGAAACTTCAAAAGGTTTTATAGAACATATAATGGAATATATAATAGAACATATAATTTATAGAACATGGATATGAAAGTTATCTATGGCAAGTGCGTACCCAATATGACGATGTCGAATGTGGTATATGTAAAATGATTTTTCTGTAGGTCAATTGTTTACATCTCGATAAAAATATAATCGATTAAAGTGGAATCAGATAACGGAGGTTCTACTGAATTCAATTTAAAATAGCAGAGCCGCGTGATCGTCGATCGTTATTTGTCTGAAAGAAAACGTAATTTTCTACTTGCTCGTACTTACATGAACATCAATTAAGAAAAGTTTCGTTGTTTCCAACGCGTTAGTGCCACGATGATTTTCTACGTGGCACCGAAGTAATACAAAGCAAATGCTAGTAGCTTAGCCCGTCACGTTGCAAAGAGGTAATTGTTTTGTGCACGTAGAAAGCACTTTCTTGTGAGAGCGCAACTTTCAGGACCTAGTTGGGCCAAAAAAGCTGAATCTTCTTACCAACCGAGACCTGTTTCATTATATTTCGTCCGGACCAACGCGACTGTCTGAAGTTGCGCGTGTAATTGAACGCGTCAGTAGTTGAAACGAACCACTGCGAACGACAAAATAAAATATGGGCCAAAATGGTGGAATACACGTTCGGAAAGAAATCTTTGATATTTTGACATAACACGGAAACGTTTAATTTTATAGTTGTTACTATTTTATAGTAATCTTTCATTTATGCTATTTATATCAGGAAAAATTGCACGATCGTTACGCAAATAAGATTTCAGTAAAAACGGTCAAAGTTGGTCAGATGCATTAATATACCGTTTCATCCGATATAATCAATCTCGATGAATTGCTATATTCATGAATTCGCGTTTAATAACGATCACGATGATAAATTAGATAAAACAAGAGTTTAAATTATTGTTATTATATCATGCTTCAAATTAGCGTGATATGTACTTAGCGTGGTCATAGTTGCATAATAAGTCACTCTATATGTTGGAATTGAATGGTATGTGGCAAGGAGGAATAAACGAGGCAATAGATGTACATAAAGAGAGAAACTTGAACAAATTTCCATAATTTAACAATTAAGCAAATTATAGCGTCGAGGGTAGAGTACCATAGAAAATCAATTAGAAACACATTATAATGTAACAGTTGCCGAACGAATGGCATGACGTAATAGGTAGATGGATGTTTGGGCTCTTGTATGTTCTCTACATATGCAACTATCGTCAGCCTTATGTGACACTGGTTCGACACAGTAGCCATATGTCTCGTTGAGCATCGTGATACACTGTCATTGTGTTGTCAGTGCCATCGACACGAGCCCTCTAAATCTCCGCGTTACACTCAAGAGATGCGACAGTTCTGTTTCACTGTCGCTGAACCGTTCTCTGTTATACGTGCTTTTGCCTTACCTTTTCTAAAATTTCCTATATACTGAAGATCACGGGGGAAAAGTATTAATGATCATCTAGCAGTTTTAAAATTTACTAGGTTGTCGTTCGATCTCACTTTCAAAATTTCATTCCCTTTAAAATTTTCAAAATGTTGCTCATTTTAATATACAGACATATATGTACGATGTAAAAACACATTAAAGTCAGAAAATCAACAATCCTTTATTCCCTTTAATTCTTTTATCTCATAAATTCTCTTTCATTTATCCATTGATTCATCATTTTCTCTATCGGTTCCACTGTTTTTCCATTCCTCTCTGTATATTTGATTTCTTATCAAACCCATTCTTTATCTAACTCCGTGACATCGATTTTATTCTGCTCCCATCACTCGTCACACGTAGGGTAAAATAAATTCAGTTTTTTGACCTGTTAGTTTATTCTACTTCTTCCATTCACGATCATCGATGCATCCGCATCGATTCCTTCGACTTCGTGATGGAATCGAAAATACTTGGTCGATACGAAGCAGAGTTCCCATTCGAGTCGCGGATATCTGGCACTCGTGCGTCGATTCTCCTTTTGATTCAGCCTCGAAGATCGAGGGAAATCGCGTGCACGCTGGCCGAGACGCCACATCTCTAACCCTGAACATCTCTCTGCCCCCTTGAGGATGCACTCGCTGCCGCGGCACTAAATTTTCCTCGAAACACGAACGGTGGAACGTGGCGGGGAAAAAATACCGGCGGAAAGTGGCGGTGAAATTTATAAATGCTCGGTTCGGTCACGGATAACGCGCGAGGATAGTCTGGATATATAATGGAAGTCGGTGTTGGTGAAGATGCTTTACGACGGAGCCTGTTTTTCGATTTATTGCGAGTTTTATCATTGGCTCGTCTTCCGATTCGAATACGGAAATGTTTAGAGGTTGATTCGTGGTATACCGCGTAGTTTACAGCTTTAATGGTCCATAATTTAGGACAGAATCAACTCGAGGGTCGCTGGAAAACACTGGAACATACCGCTGAACGTATTTAACATTGCAACATTATATTATTCGAATACGATTCTGTTTGAGATATCGTGGCATACCACGATGTTTACTAGCCGAGCAGAAAGCAAAACTGAAAGATTTTCTTCGCAAAACCTTTTCCGGGTTGCAAACTATAAAACTTCGTTTTTATTGCCTGATTCGGTTATGGAGGCCGATGGTGGGGCGATTTTACGACGGCCAGAGTATCAAACTCGAGGGAAAACAACTGAAATTCTTCCCGCGTCTCGATAAACCTAAGTAGAGGATAAATTCGAGAATTCTATGGCCTCGTATCTCTTCTGGCTGTCCTGACAAAACTCGAGTATATTCGAAGATGATCTAACATGAACCTTTTTCTAATCAGGCAACGTATGGACGCGACTAGAATCGAAAATCTTTTTTTGCTTTGCTGGCTCTGAACTGAATGTTCTAAGATAAATCGTTCATTAGCATTTAAAGAAGATTCGAAGCGATACCAACACTAGAAGTTTCTAAATAGCTCATTGAATAACAATATTTTCGACGGGGAAACATAAATAATCGAGCAATTCTTTCTCGTTACACGTTATACATATACATATATTGGTTTAGTATAATTAGAAAGACGTAATAACGAATTATCAGACGGGAAGGTCGAGCTACTCGAAAAGGGTAAAACAGCTTTTCATGGTTAACCCGCTTTACAAAGGGGTAGATAAAGAGCGATTGTTATCGCTTGGACAATGGTATCGCGACGGGAATGTAACAGTTAGCGTTATTTTCGAGTTAAACCCAACCCGTTCCCAGGATTCGCCCCTTCGAATGGAGAGAGGGAGGGATGCAATTAAAATCAGCTACGTCGGCCTCGTCGAATCTCGGTTTCTTTTGTCGGCAGCCTCCGTTTAAGATTTAATTGGATTGTTCGTTAATGAGTGATAATCGGACGGACCGTTGCAAATAAACTGGCGATACGCTTCCAATTAACCTTAATATCGATACTTATTGCGTTCGGGCCAATTACATCTTCTAATTGTAGAAATTCGGACGTGCCGATCGGCAAAAGGGTACCCCAGAGAGTGTACCAAAATCAATTCGAAATCGATTCGACTGAGGCAAACAGGGTAGACCACCTCTCTCCATGTGGGTTGTAGGTGCTGCGCGTGTTTCTACCTCGGTATCGTGGACTAACGATTCTCTGCTTATTAAACTCTGTTTATCGAACTATCTTTTGCTACCGATGAGAGATTCTATTAAGTTCTGTTTGTTCCTCTTACGTTTATTACGTCTCTAGTATATACTTACCAAATATATTTACATTCAATTTTCCTACTTTGTTAAGAACGACTGCTTCCTCTTCATTGCCATTAATAGTAGTACATGAAATGTGATAAAGGAGAGAAATTTTTATTTCATGAACAAACCATTTCCATAATCATTAGTGTAAGTAAGGTGGGCAAGTTCAAGAATATTAATAAATCAGAGAAGTTGTTGATAGCATCGGAAAGAAAGTTTTGTAGAAGTGCAATGCATACATTTAATTATGAAGTTATTATACGTTTTTCAGTAGAAACACCCATAGTCAAGAAAAAATCAGAAATTTCAGTAGAAACGTCCAAAGTTAGTCAGACATATAAATATATCATTTTATGCAATATAGTCATGTCAATATAGTTGATTTCAGCTGATTTAACGGAAACATTGTTGCTACATACTTCACTTTTTGAAAAGGTAGACTCAAGATAGAATCAAGTAGAAACGTATGGATAGACAGATAGGCGTATCGAAAAACATTAGTCGGGAAGGTTGTTCATAGAATTCAGAAAGGAAGCTTTGGAAGAGTGTGATAGAAGTATTTAATCCTGAAGTTATTATACTTTATTTTACTTTATACTTTATACATTACTTACAATTGAGTGAA